GATATAAACATATAATATAATATAATAATAATATTTTAATATTATTAATATTAAAAATAAAAGAATATTATTTATGTAATATATTTATTAGCTCCTAAAATAGCCAATATCAATAGATCTCAATCAATTTGTTGCAATAGGACGAATTGAGACACAATTAATCTCATATCAAAATTAGCTGAGAAAAGCCTTTGTAGATAATTCAAAGATATTACAAATATAATGAGTGAATGATTGAGTAGACATTACAAAAGCGACTTCAGAAGTCAAATGTATTTTTTGTTTTTAACGCGTTACTTGAGGCCTTTATGTATAATGTATAAAATGTATTTATGTATAAAAAGTTATTCATGATGCACATTGCAATGCATTGTATATATTTTCATAAATGAGTGTAACCAAAGTGAAAATGCATTATAATTGCAGAAATCTGAAATCGGTTGTTTGTCATGTGTTTTAATGCATTGTACTTCCTAAAGGTGTAACGATGAAAAGATATGTATTATAACTGTGGTTGCAATTATTGATGTGATCATACAATGCATTAAAGTGCATTTATAGTGCATTATATATAAGGTTTCAGGTAAAGTGTTTCCTGATTTTCCAGCAAATTCACACATGTATTCTGCTTGGTGATCCAGATCTAACATCTGCAGTTATTTGCAGCTCTCCCTCCTCATGCAGTGTCTCTATCATGTTGCGTTCAGACGTTTGTAACCCGACTCGTGCGTCTGCTCTCTCCAGCTGGCTCTCGGCTCTGGAAAGCACCCGTTGGCTGCAGCACCTGTCTGTCATGCTGAAGGCCGCGTCTCTGGTGTGCTCTGCGGTGGAGCGGGAGGGAAGGCCGGTGCTGGTGCATTGCTCAGACGGCTGGGACCGCACGCCGCAGATCGTGGCCCTCGCAAAGATCCTTCTGGATCCCTTCTACAGGACCATAGAGGTAAACGTGAAGAAGAGGAACCACCCATACGGCTCCGTGTGAATTAGTTTGCTCATGGGTTTGATTCACAGGGAATACATGAACTTAACCGTGCACCTTGAATGCAAAGATAAAAGCATCTGCCAAATGCAGAGAGACTAATATTAAATGCATGTTTAATTTAAGTCAAGTCACAGTTATTTATACAGCACTTTACTCAATGCAGATTGTTTCAAAGCAGACAGTGTCGTTATTCGGATCAGTTTAGTTCAATGTCAGTTCAAACTTTAAAGTGTCTTTACACATCCGAGTGTTAAGCTGCATAAATTATCCGAATGCTGCATAAAAGCAGACTAAATACTGCCTGCTCTGACCCACCTCAGCATCTAGTCAGGGTCAGTATCGTTAATGAAAACTAAAACCATAAAAACACATTTTGGTTACTTGAAATGAAATAAACATTAACTAAAATAAAATAGTTGTGACCCTGTCTGTGAAATCCAGGCTAAAGTCTCAAAATCTAATTATGAGATAACAAGCATCAAAGTTTGATTTCAACTGTTAATTTCACTATGATTTCAATCTTTGACATGATATCAATGTTACATTTTCACAGATTGTTATTTACCTTATGAAGGATGATTTTATGTAGAAAACAGTAAATCACCAAAAAATGACTTTAGCTGGGTTTTCACAGACAGGGTCACATTTATATCTTTATTTTTAATATATTTAATATATATTATATGTTTGAATATTATATGTATTTCACTATATAATTAGTTATTTATTTATATTTAAGTATCTATTAAAATTATTTAAAAATATATATTTTTTTAAATATCTACTTGTCAGGGCAACATTTTTCATTTTCATTTAGTTTTAGTCGAAATACTAAAATAACAAGCTAAATAAACTACATTTAGTACTGTACTGTACAGATATTTTGTTAAAAAAAGGCAAAACACAAAAATGCTAATGTATGAAATTAAATATTTATATATAGCTTATTAAATAAGTAAATAAATAAAAATTAATAGATACTTTACAGACGTTTTGTAAAGACAAAAACACAATAGAATTATTAAAATGTTAAATGAAATATTTTTATTTATAATTTGTTGGCAGGGCAACACTTAAAAGTACTGACGTAAATTAAATAAATGCTAAAACTAATAAATAAAATTTAATAAATACTTGGGTTGCAAAAAGGTGGAAAATTTCCAGTAAATTTCAGAAATATTCCAGAAATTTTGGAAACATGCCAGGATTTTTTTGGAATATTCCAGGGACTTTTGGAAAGTTTCTGGAAATTTACAGGAAATTTTCCACCCCTTTGCAACCCTAATAAATACTATATAGACATAAAAAATGGCAAAAACACACAAAAAAAAATACTAAAACTTTAACAAATTAAAGTGCAAAAACTAAAACTAAAATCTAATTCAAAATAACAACAAAAATGCAAATGTAGTATATCAGTGATACTAAAGCAACACTCTTCCTAGTATCAAAGGCAGTTTATTTATGCAGGTGTAAGTGTAAATTCATCTAAATGCCACTGCAGATGCAGTTTCTCTGCCAGCTTTGCCGTGTAAATGTGTCTTTAGAAAATATGCTTTATGTAAGTTTTTGACTCTACTAAAGCATAAAAATACCATAATATGTTTGCAGATATTTAAGAAACATGCTTAGTTAACATTGTTTTTATCAATGCTACAGTCAGTTATTCTCCTTTGAAAATGTGTGTGTGCCAGAATGTCGGTCTCTGTTTTGGTTTGTGAAACTTGTGAAATGAAATTGTATTTCGGCCCCCCGGGTTGCCAGTTGGCGGAAAACACAGCGTATTTCATTTCATTCATCGTCAAGTGCGCTCGCTCTCTCCTCCACATCATGAGTAGACACGCCCCTTACTGCTGATTGGCTACAAGTTTGTTTTGCTATTCGAATCAGTTTTCGAAAGCGTTTTTGAAAAATCACTTACCCCACGTTTAAATGACTCGCTTGCATTTGCCTGTCAGAGCGCTAGTTAACTCTGGTTCGTTAGCCTCGTGTCTCTGACTGTCTGTGGGTCTGGGCAGGGTTTTCAGGTGCTGGTGGAGACGGAGTGAATTACAGTTATTTTCGTCAGTTACGGCACGTTAGCGCTAGCATTCTGCCCGCTTCAAATCATACACAGAGATGAAATAGTGCAATAAGATCACAGTTACTTGAATGAATTATAGCATTTATTTCAATTAATTATCGATTGATCAAGAGAGAAAGATAAAGAGAGAGATGACAGTTGTGTGTGCGTTACCTGCGTCTGCATGTCTCTCTACAAGCAATTAATTATTTCAAAAACAGCGATTTTACCACATCGTTGCTGAGGAATATAATGTAGCGATCTAGTATCTAGACTATTTATTAAAAAGTAAACACGTTACTTCTTATAATAGGGTCAAAGACGTTAAGATGTCCGCATCAAAAGAAATTTACAAAAGTGATTTTATGTCCATAGAAAGCACATTAAATGTAAGTAAAGTGTCTACTTTTAAGGTTTCAAATAAGTTTTTGGAGAATAAAATGTCAATATTTTGAACATGATCTTTACTTAATATCCTAATGATTTTTGACATAAAAGAAAAATGTATAATTTTGACCCATACAATGTATTGTTGGCTATTGCTACAAATATACCCCAGCGATTTAAGACTGCTTTTGTGCTCCAGGGTCACAAATCCTCAGTTTATATGACCTGTAGGTCTCATCCAGATGTTGTTGTTGTTGTTCAGTTTTACACTGATTGTATTTCCAGATGAAGCTGGTTCAGCACACATACTCCTGTCTGTACGGTACGTTCCTGTGCAATAACGCGAAAGAGCGCGAGGCCCGTAACGTCTATAAACGCACCTGCTCCATCTGGTCGCTCCTGCGCAACGGCAACAAGAACTTCCAGAACTTCCTCTACATCCCCTGCCATGATATGGTCAGCACACCTCCAAACACAAACACACACAAAACACTATAAAACACAGCTTTGGATTGGTTCAGAGAGGATTTATGCTGCATTCACATCCTGATAATAATTGTGCTTCCAACTGCAGACTCTAAAAAAGGGGTTTTAGCCAATTAGGTGTTTTAGAGCTGAACAAATACTATTTATATTTACTATAGAAAATTTCATATCTTTTTAAGATTTTATTAATATCTCAGTCTTTTCCAGATTGGAAATGGCTATTTTAAAATTCACCGATATTTAAAGGTTTTCTGTGACTGTGAGAACCCTGTTTAAAAGACGCATTAAACTTTCTCATTTGTTGTGCTTTATTTATGTAATGCCCAGTAAATGCAGTGTTACTTTTTTGATATGTCTATATAGTTTTTAATTTTTATTTCATATTTTAGTGCATAAAGTTAAACTAAGCAAAAGTGATAAATCTTGCCTTGGCAACTAGCTGAAATAAAATAAAACGTTATATTTTTATGTCAAGTAATGGAAATGTTTTTAATGGTTTTAATTAACTATATGATACATATGCTACATTTATTTTAAGACATTGATTTGTGTCACGTCTAAACACAAACACATAATTACTTTAAACAAGATCCATGCACTTTTTGATTAATTATAAGCTTTCAACATGAGACTCGGTTAACATTTTTGTTTTTCCAAAAAAGCAATTTTAGCCAATTAACAAAAACGGTTTATATTTACCAGAGAAATTTCCATAACTTTTTAAGATTTTGTTCATTTCTGTGCCTTTTACAGATTGGAAATCACCGTTTTAAAAATCACAGATATTTGAAGGTTTTCCAAGACTGAGAAGCCTGTTTAAAAGAAATTTACATTTTTTCACCCCCTCATTTATTGTGTTTTGTTTACGTGATACCTCTGGTTTAATGCAGATGTTGAGTTGTTGTTGTGGTGATGTCGGCAGGTTTTGCAGCCGGTCTGTCACACGCGAGCGCTGCAGCTGTGGACGGCTGTGTATCTGCCGTCGTCCTCGCCGTGCACCGCGGCTGAAGATGCCATGGAGATCTACCTGAGCCCTTCGGCCGGAGGAGAGGAGTTCAGCTCGCGCTCCCTCGACAGGTGGCCATTCATTTCATTACAGTGCTAAAAATGCTGCACAATTACATTTGCTCACATATTGCTTCACTAAATCTTTATTTGGCCACATTCCAAACAACTTTCCTGAAAGTAATATCCTGATGTATTTCCTTCTCTACAATCAGATTCCAGCACACTTGCTGCCAGTAAATTACAGATTGCAGGACTTTTTTCCTACTGATCCTGTAATATATATATATTAGGGCTGGGCGATATAGCAAAAAAATTTATCAACGATATAATGTTTCATATCGTTCGGCATCGATAATTATTGACATTTTTTATAACCTTTTTTAAAACGGAGCAATAGAAAAAAGGTTTAAATTTAACCACTGTATTTTTAAATTAACACAATTTATTGAGACAAACAACAAATATTTTTGTTTTAACAATCAAACACAAAATAACAATTAAACATATCTAATTTCTAATGTTTTATATGCAGATTAAATAGGTCTTAAAGAAACTTTTGTCTTGTCTCCCGAGGCCACAGGAGGGTGCAATGAGCAAAATAATGCAGCGCATTTAAATGATCAATGCAAGGAGTTAACTCTATAAAAAAAAACGTGCATTACGTCTAAATTAAGCAGACCATGGAATAATAAAACTTATTTAAATGACTTAACATTTTTTTATAAACACTTGTATACTTACATGTATAAAGATCTAGCCATCATCCCTTTAATGAGGATGATGAGGTGCTCTACTGAGATGTTTTGTGTTCAGCTCCTGCCCTCTTGTGGTGAACTGAAGCACACTGTAAACACGGTTTTTCAATTCCCTCAGGCTCCCCAAAACACGCTCGATGGACAACTTGGTGTCTGCTTGTGAGAACGGCGTGACGCTTACCCGCACCTCGAGTGACCCCAACCTGAACAAGCACTGCCAGGAGTCCAACCAACCCGCGGCCATCCAGAGCTCCGCTTCGTCCGAGGACCCGCCTGAGCCGGGGTGTGAGGAAACCAGCTCTTCAATATCTCGTGAGGACGATTTAGGGGTGGAGCCTTGTTTGACAACCCAGCCCCTTCCATCTTTGCCCCACCCCTTAGCGGTAGACCAAGCCCCGCCCCTTCTGGTCACAAACCAAGCTCCGCCTCAAATCCCAATTAGCTCACCACAGGAAATCAGGACTGCAGAAAACACAAATCCACCTCCTCTTTGTAACGGCTTCGCACACGTAGAAAACGCTAGCGGATCTGCGAACTCTGAAGCCATTGCGCCAATGGAGGCGTCAGTGGAGACGCTAACGGAGCAAAGCGCAATCCCTCCTTCTAGGAAAGCCATTGACCTCCCGATACGAAACGGTGAACTGGTTCCCGCCAGAGAACGACCACCACCCGCCGACTACGCCAAAGCAGCCCGCCGTTTGATTTCCCAAAGCCAGCTGACGGAGCTATCGCTGCTAGGCTCCCAATGGGACAGCGTCCAAGGCCTGGTCCAGTCGGCCTGCGGCGGCGCCATCCAACATGGTAGCTATCACAGCCGCCGCCTGGCGAACAAGCTCCTCCGTGCCCAAGCCGGAAGCGCTAACGGCGGGCCGTGTTGCCGCCGAGACCCTCTGCGCGCTCCTGGAAGCCCCATCCAGTCGGGCTGGTTCTCTGCGGTGAGGAACTCCAGCTATGCCGCACTTTGTTCCTCGGCGGCGTCTTCGCTAGCAATGGGACCGTCCTTCCGGCAGCTGCTCCCGTCCCATTCCTCGCCGTCCTCCAGCGGCTCTCCGGCTCCGGCGTACCTGGACGACGACGGCCTGCCGGTGGCAGTGGACGCGGTGCAGCAGCGGCTGCGGCAGATCGAGGCCAGCTACAAGCAGGAGGTGGAGGTGTTGAGGCGGCAGGTTCGACAGCTGCAGCTCAAACTGGAGAGCAAGCAGTTCTGCACGCCGCCCTCCGAACCCGACGTCGACTACGAGGACGATATTGTGAGTCTGTGTTCCCAGTACATTTATCATGCTCACTGTGGGTCCTTCAAAAATCCAACATTCAGTTTTATAGAATTTGTGGACTTAAAGCCGTGACAAACTTTATATCGTTGGAAAAGGTCTAAGACTCCTAAATAGATATTTTACCACAGTTAAAAATATTTCTTAACTGTAAGTATTTTTATTCAACAACGTATTTTTATAAAGCATTCAATAATTTCTATAAACCAATAGATTGATTTATTTCTATAAAACATTAAGTTTGCATTTCTTGCCCTCGTGACATTTTTAGTGTCAGTATTTATTAAACAAACACAAAATATTTTTTATAAAGCATAAAATCATTTCTATAAAACATTAATTTGTATTGTTTTTATGAAACATTAAATTGGCTTTACTTGCCCTGGCAAACATTTTAAGTTGTCAGTATTTTTTATTAAACAAAAACCAAAGTAGTTTTTATAAAGCATTTAATAATTTATATAAAACATTAAATAATATAAAATTTTTATAAAATGTTCATTTTGCCTTACTTGCCCTGGTGATATTTTCAATGTAGTTTTTTTTTAGCAAAATATTCTTAAGTGTCAGCATTTTTATTAAACAGTTACCATTATTATTATTTTTTATTAAACATCACATTTGCTTTACTTGCGTTTTTTTGTAAAATACTTTTAACTGTCAGTAAGTATGCTTTACAAGACAGAACAATTAAGGGATAATCAATGGTTTGCCATGCATTAGAGGATTTTAAATGCACGACGTGGAGGCAAAGATCCTTTAATGCACGGCTAGCTGTTGATTATCCCGCTTATTCCATGGTCATTTGCCAAGTTATAGACAAGTTAAAACTAGTATTGCTCTTTACAGCGCAATATTTGACCGAATGGGTAAAAATTTGTTATTTTCGTCAGTTACGGCACGTTAGCGCTAGCATTCTGCCCGCTTCAAATCATACACAGAGATGAAATAGTGCAATAAGATCACAGTTACTTGAATGAATTATAGCATTTATTTCAATTAATTATCGATTGATCAAGAGAGAAAGATAAAGAGAGAGATGACAGTTGTGTGTGCGTTACCTGCGTCTGCATGTCTCTCTACAAGCAATTAATTATTTCAAAAACAGCGATTTTACCACATCGTTGCTGAGGAATATAATGTAGCGATCTAGTATCTAGACTATTTTATTAATAAAAGTCATGGGGCAGCGTTGACAACAAGTTTCTGTGTGTGTGCAGCACAATCTCCGATCTCTCTCTCTCTGTGTGTGGGTTTGTGTGGATCAATTAAAGCAGCGCATTAATATAGAATGGTGATTAAACTGATTTGAAACTAACTGTGCATTAAACGGTTTTAATGCATACCTGCCAGCCAATCAGAATCGATTATTCAGACAGACCATGGTATAATATTAATTAACAACATGCACTGAAAGTTAAGTTTCAAAAACATTTTTAAAAGGTAATATTTAGGTAAAATATTTATTTATTATTTATTTATTTAATTTAGTTTTTTGGAATAATACAATTTTTAAAAGAAGTCTCTTCTGGTCACCGAGGCTGCATTTATTAAAAAAAAAAAAAACACACACACTCAGTATACAGTAAAAACATCCATATCGTGAAGTATTTTTATAATTTATTTCTACTTAAATATATTTTAAAATATAATTAATAGCTTTGCCATCACAGGCATAAATTACATTATTCAAATAGAAAACAGTTATTTTAAATTGCAATATTTAACAATATGAACTTTTGTACAATATTTTGATAGTATATCATAAATGCAGCATTTGAAAGCGAGAGACCTCTTTCAAACACAATAAAAAACGTAATTATTCCAAACTTTTTAACTAAAACATCTTATTATTTTGCATTTTAGTCATAAAGGTCTTAAAATGTCTTAATTTTGATTTTAAAAATTCTCTCATTGACTCTTGCATATAAAATCACCAGTCTCTTGTGATGCTTGTGATTTTATTACAGGTAGAATCTGTGCTTTCGCACAGACACAACGTTTAAACCCTTGTTTCAGTGCAATGTTTGATGGACAGCTGTGTCGTTGGTCCTTTTGAGATGCATTTGTGTTTCTATTCTTGTGTCTGTGACTCCACTGACGTCTCTCTCGTTCCTCCAGACGTGTCTGCGGGAGTCAGACGGCAGCGACGAGGAAGACTCTCTGTCCAGTCACAGCGAGGACCGCTTGAGCGAGGGCAGCTGGGACCGTGTGGAGAGGAAGGACACAGAGGTCAGTCTCTCTGATGCTGCGCAGTACAGCTGATGATGCTTAGAGAGTTTAACTAGCTTGTTTCTGGACACAGGTCACCAGATGGGTGCCGGATCACATGGCCTCTCACTGCTTCAACTGCGACTGTGAGTTCTGGATTGCCAAGAGACGCCATCACTGCAGGTGCGGCCCAGTCTGATTCCTGAGAAACAGGAGCAGATCGGTTAAATATCACTTCATTTTCAGACTTTTCAGGGATTCCCAAATCCCGTCTGAGACTTTAAATAACGTTAAATGTTAGTTTAGTAAATATACTGAATTCACATCAGTTGATTTATTACAGATCATTCAAATATCGAATTGTAATCAGTGTTTTTACGATCAAAGTGTCCGGTTATTGATGGTTGTATATTGGATTTTACTATACGTTTCGTCGGTGGCAATTCAGACATGATTTAAACAAACATCAATAAAAAAAAAAAAACTGAAATATGTGATTGATTTTAATCTTTATTGATAGAATATTTGATTGAATTAGTAGCGTTTGTTTTGTTTGTATATTGGATTTATAGATTAACCCTTTAACCACCTGCACGAAAAAAATCAAAATCAAATCACTAAGCAACCCCTGAATGGAATAACACAATATACTTTGATTAACTCCTAAGCAGTGCTGAGTTATTTGCGGATAAATAGACAAAAATTTTTTCATAATTTATGAAAAATGTTTTTGTGCCAGAAACATCATACAGCTCAGATAAGTCATGTCATATGTCATTTGAAAGGTCTCATCGAGTTGAATAAAACAAGTATAATTGTTTGGGGCTTTAGCTAAACTTGAGTGAGGCTTTACTTCAAATTCAAAACAACAGTTTCAAAACTGTAAGGGGCTAAGAGAAGGGCTACCTTGGTTCCAAATGCTGTAACTTTTGATTACTTCATGATATCGCCACAAAATTTAATTCACATATAACTAGGGCTGGACAATATATCGCAATATAATTTTTTTCAATAACGGTGATATGACCAAAACATAATTTTATTCTCCTTATTTTTTTCATGAGATATTGAACATCAAATAAGAATATGAAAAATTTCCCTTGACCACACAAATTTTTCTTACATTTTACCACCTATTTCTCAACATAAGAATATTCAAATGCAAAGATTTTTTTTCACATAAAAATATAGAAAACTTTCTATCAGACGATATCTACCTTTTGACACTCTCCTTGCTACGGTCTTGGAGTTATGAGTCATTATTTTTGTGTATGGCACTCAGAAAACAACAGTTTTTAAAATTCCTTCAGGGAGTCGAGAGCTAAACAAAAATGCCTGTTTTGTTACAAAATACTGTAACTTTTGGATACTTTATGCTATCACCACAAAATTTGAAACAGATATAGCTAACATGCTGGGGAACATAATCAAAAATAATTTTCCTCCTACCTTATTTCTGTCCTGAGATATTGAATGTCAAATAAGACAGATATGAAAAATTTCTCTTGAGCACTCAAATTTTTCTTACATTTTTATCAGCTATTTCTCAGCAGCATATTTTTCTATCTAACGATACCAACCTTTTGACGCTCCTTGCTGCAGTCTTCGAGTTATGAGTCATTCTTTTTGTGTATGTCACTCAGAAAAAACATGATCTTCAGTGAGGCAAAAATGCCTTCATGGCTTAAAGGGTTAATATGTGATTTCTAGAATATTTGATTTATAGCCAGTGTTAATTTAGTGTTATTTATACACTATTATAGTATTATAATTTAGTATTTTAGTTTAGGTAGTAGTCATTTTTAAAATTGTTGTGATTTTAACAGTTTTTAAATATTTCTATTTTGCTTTATTTTTAGTTTAGTTTTAGCCATTTGCCAGAGCAACATTTCTACAGGTTTATTTTGTTGGCTTTATTTCACTGCCAACTAACTGAAAATTATTCGCGAATTAGAGTTTTGTTTTTTTTTCCGTTAAAAATAACAACACTATTTGCAGTGCATGTAACGGATTAGTTTGTTGGTTTATTGATTGAATATTAGATTTATAACTAATGTGATTAGTTTGTTGATTTACTAATGTGTCATTACAGCATTATTAATATTTAAAATTAGCTTTTTTATTTATATTTTCAGTTTTAATTTAGTTTAAATTTGAGTAATTTTGTGTGCTTTTGTCATTTTAAAAAATATTTCTGTTAAGCTTTAGTTAATTTTTATTTCAGTTTTAGGTAATATTTGTATTTTTTCTTATTTCTATTCATTAGTAGTAAATTCATTTTTAACTTAATTATTTAATTATTAATTTATTTTTGTATTTTAATTTAGCTTTTGTCATTTTTAAAAAATATTTCTGTTTAGCTTTAGTTAATTTTTTACTTCAGTTTTAGGCAATATTTCTATTTTTCTTATTTCTATTCATTGGTGGTAAATTCATTTTAACTGAATTAATTCATTAAATTATTTATAACTTTTATCTTTGTATTTTAATTTAAATTTAGCTTTTGTCATTTTTAAAAATATTTCTGTTAAGCTTTAGTTAATTTTTTATTTCAGTTTTAGGCAATATTTCTAATTTTTCTTATTTCTATTCATTGGTAGTAAATTAATTTTTAACTGAATTTAATTAATTATTAAATTATTTATAACTTATTTTTGTATTTTAATTTTAATTTAGCTTTTGTCATTTTTATTTTATTACTTATTCTATTTACCTTTATTTTTAATTCATTTTTATTGTTTTAATATTTTAATACTTCAACTTGAGCTTAAACTTAGAAATGTTAGAAAATTAGAAATGCATCCTCGGTTTACGTTTTTCATTAGTTTTTTCAATAGTTCTAGTTTTTTTTTAATATTCAGTTTTGCGAGACACTGTTTATAGTGCTGATAGTGATGTATTAGTTTGTTGGTTAATTGTATTCAAATATTGGATGGCTGGTTTATATTTGACTGAATGCATGATTGAGATTCCGTCCTGATTTCCCGTAGGAACTGTGGGAACGTGTTTTGTAAGGACTGCTGTCACCTGAAGCTGCCCATCCCAGACCAGCAGCTGTACGACCCGGTTCTGGTGTGCAACACCTGCCACGACCTGCTGCTGGAGTCCCGCACGCGAGAGCTGCGCTCGCAACAGCTGAAGAAAGCCATCGCCACCGCCTCCAGCTGAGACGGCCAATCACAGCGCGCCACACACACACCGGCGTCCAATCACACGCCCGTCTTTTAGAGCAAGAAAGAAGTCTTTTAGAGCTCTCTCCTCTGGAGTCCGGATCGGCTCTGAGACTGATCCACACGAGGAACGGGACGGATCAACTCCAAACACGAGTGCGGTTTGCTACGGAGGGGCGATTTTATCACTGCAAGTGAACTCCAAGCTTCTCTGGTTGAGGACAGAAACCGGACCCAAAGGATCCTTGGGTTCCAAAGAGAGACGTTTCTTTGTCTGGAAATCACCACACGGCCCGTATGCATCACACACATCCAGAGGCTCTCTATTTAAAACCAACCAAGCTGCTACAGTATTTAAAAACGAAAAATTCTACTTTTGTATCCTTATTATTTTGTGCACTACGGAGGGGGATTGAGACCAAAACGGGGAGATCTGCAGCAGTTCGTCTGCTGATATGGAGCTTGAATGTACGGCTGTTTGGTTTATTTTGATTTTTCAGAAACTGGAGGGAGGAACTGAATTTAAGCTGCCAGTTTGCATTGATTTGATGGCAGTTTTGTGCAGTTTTTGTTTTTCAGCCACTCACGTCAAAACTGCGCTTTCGCTGAAATGTGAAATGGTTTCACTCTCGACTTTAAATGCCAAACTCAAATTCCAACATATCAGTAATATATAAACAGAAGCACTCCTAAATTCATGTTTCATCTGGCTGGTTGTGTTTTGTAGCAGGAAAAGCAAGAAAAAATCCGAGCAAGCTGAACATTTATGCTGTATGTTGTTGTGTACATTATGGTAAAACTATAGCCATGTTGCACTGCTCCGTCTACTTTATCCAGAATACTAGTGTACTAGTTTCTTTTCTATGACTTCATCTGAACAAACCAACGACGATAATTAAAATGACAATCTGAAACAGGTGAATCATTGGAAACTGGTGGCGATTTAAAGGACTTTTGTATTGGAGGGTTTGACCGCTTCGCTGCTGTCCACTCACGTTCTCAACATGTTCAAAACAAGTGCTATGATTTCTTTTTCACGTCGTCCGCGTCTTCAGGCCCTACGTTGATTGTGTATTGTAATGTTGGTGAACCTCTCAACAGTGCCATGTGTTTGATTTTCTTATGGATTCACTTTAACATGTTGGATGGTACGATAGCTAGAGGCTTAACAATCAGAGGATGATTTGTTGAGAATCGATGAGGTTAAAAACACTGAGAACCGCTTTGATTTTGTCTGATGGGTTTAATTTTTCTTCTCCGTGGTGTTGATGAAGGACACATTTCGAGTTAAATGCATTGAAAAGGAACCCAGAAATGTGATATATTATATAGTTATTTGGTCTGTAATAGTGGCTAAAATTTGTCACTTAGTGAATAATTGTTGTAAAGAAATGCACTGTACAAGTTCAATCCCATGGGTTAAATAAAAAGATATGTCTTTATCAGCCATCTGTGTCCTGTGTTGAGATTATTCATCGTTGCTTTATTATTTTGTTCAAAATCATACCAAGCATGGAGCTTGAACACTAAAATTAACATAAGCATTTTTGTTTTGCTGCAGTTATTTTTTTCCTGTTGTATTTAAAGGGGTCATCGGATGCCCATTTTCCACAAGTTGATATGATTCTTTAGGGTCTTAATGAAAAGAAGGGGAAAACATTTAACCAGATTAAAAAAAAAAACACTGGGTGGATTTTTATCATTATAGGGTGGTTGTGTACACTGCCCAACACACATTTCAGTTCAAACAACTTGTAAAAGTGCATGTCGCATCCGATGACCCCTTTAAGAGTTTTCAAAAAGTCAACATTTAATATATTTAATACTGCAGTTATATGCTATAATAAAATCATCCTAAAGAAGCAGGTTTTAAAACAAAAATAGCACTCTGATCTTTAGCAGTTTTATGTATAGAGCACCTTTCCCACACTTTACAACAGATTTACATAAAGAACATAACACGTACAACACAAAAATATACATTCACAAATAAATAAATAATGCATCTCTTTACCTGTGAATTTAAAGGAATAGTTCTTAAGTTCTAATGACAATGTTAATTACCACTGATTTTTTTTCTCCATCTATAAAAAGGAAAAACCGCGTCAGGCATACTATTACAATGAATCAAAAGAATAATCACAACATTGCAACATTACAAAAATTACAATGAGACTAGTGAGAGTGACACTTGCCAACCCTGACCGTGTAGTTCAGTTTCTCCATACAGACTGTACAAGGTTCAGCGGTTCGCAGTCAGAAATGAACAAGGGAATAATCCAACAGCCAATGCCAATAATACTACTAATGAAAAAATAATAGAAAATGCCTCCAGTTCAACATCACAAATCTCAGCCTGCAGTGATAATCACTTTTTACTGAAGATCACTGAGAAGAAAATTGACAGCCTTATAAAAATATTCAATTCACGTTTATTTGAATAGCACTTTTCACAAGACAAATCGTTGCAAAGCAGCTTCACAGAAAATGTGGTAGTTCTGTATGTTGTTTCAGGGTTGGCATCATCTGAGGTCCTCTGAGGGGTTGGCATCATCTCTTCTCAGGTGTTCTGGGTCCAGACTGAAGCTTGTGTAAATCCTAGTTACCACGGGATGTCAATCCCAGCAGAAACAGAGAAAAAAATAGACATAATTAGCGTAGCTGCTGTTTCAACCATGCAACAAAAAAAAAGTGTTCAAATAAAGGAATAATAATGTGCATTTGATCAGATATAACTGCAGTACAAGGTCATGAGATACATTGTGTGAATGCTTGGCCAAAGAGATGTGTCTTTAATCTAGATTTAAACAGGGAGAGTGTGTCTGAACCCCGAATGTTATCAGGAAGGCTATTCCAGAGTTTGGGAGCCAAATGCGAAAAAGCTCTACCTCCTTTAGTGGACTTTGCTATCCTAGGTACTACCAAAAGTCCAGAGTTTTGCGACCTTAGGGAGCGTGATGGATTGTAGCGTGGTAGAAGACTAGTTAGGTACGCAGGAGCTAACCCATTAAGGGCCTTATAGGCAAGTAATAATATTTTGTAACTGATACGGAATTTAATAGGTAGCCAGTGCAGAGACTGTAAAATTGGGGTAATATGATCATATTTTCTTGACCTGGTAAGGACTCTAGCCGCTGCATTTCGGACTACCTGTAGCTTGTTTATTGAAGATGCAGGACAACCACCTAGCAGTGCATTACAATAGTCCAGTCTAGAGGTCATGAATGCATGAACTAGCTTTTCTGCATCAGAAACAGGTATCATGTTTCGTAACTTGGCAATGTTTCTAAGATGGAAGAATGCTGTTTTTGTAACATGGGAAATATGATTTTCAAAGACAAGTTGCTGTCTAATATAACAATTCAAAAATACTCGAACGTTGTGCTGAAAAGTAGTAAATAAACAAATAAATGCATTAATACCTGTATTAGTAGTAGTAGGCCTACTGCTGTATAATTATCATTAATAGGCTTTGAACCGTTTTGAGTCGAACAGTTTTAAACCGGCCATTAGATGTCACCAAACTCACATTAATGACTGTTTTGCGCTCAGCTGCTCAATATTCATAACTGCATATTTCTGTTGTGGATAAAGCAGGTGTTTACTCAGGTAACTTTATACAAGATACTAATCGCCCATATACACATTATAAAGTGTATGAGTAACAGAAATATGTTTACAACTTACAGCACAGTAAGATTACGGAATATTAAATATGTGTTAAAATGGGAGGCAACAAAAATATAACAATAACAAAAGCCTAATTCAACACTTCCTGACAGAATTTTCCTCATTTAGGCTACTAACCATAAATTTCCCTGAAATAGGCCTACATGCTGGAACAAAAATACTGAAGGGATCATTATTAAGGATTTCACCTGGAATCATCCAATCATGCTTTGATTCATGGAATTACAACTTGGAAAAACAATCAATAATAAACATACAAAGTTTGAATAAGATGACCTGTGATTGGGCAAGGCTTATTTTGGTCATATGCTGCCATGCACAGTTGGATTTTCTATAAATGTAGCCTTGTAGGTTGATCTAAACTGTAAGTTGATTTGGGGGGAAAAGCATCTTTCTACGCTCTAAAAAATGCTGGGTTAAATACAACCCAGTGCTGGGTAAAATAGGGACAAACACAGCAATTGGGTTGTTTTGACCCAGCGGTTGGGTTAAATGTTTAACCCAACCTTCTGGGTAGTAACCCAACCGCTGGGTCAAAATAACCCAATTACTGGGTTTGTCCCTATTTTACCCAGCATTTTTAGAGTGTACTAATAATAGTATGTATTATCGTTAGGTGAGGAGTTTTTTGTCATTGTACTGGCATTTATCAGATCTGACCATTAAAATGACTTTTAGATAGATAGATCTATAGATAGATAGATAGATGTGAGTAAGAATAATGAGCATATTTCATACATAACGTGGTAAAGATAAGACGGGTGTGATGATGCTCTGGTTATTGAGGAATGTGATGGGAGGGGCCAGCAGACTCCATCCTGTCCATTGATAGATATATTACTATATAAGAGACAATCACACTCTCAAAGGGTCACATTTGGTCGAGTCTCATTGCTGGAGTCACAGGACTTTCACAATGCGGTGTCTGCTTTCAGCTTATCTTCTGCCACTGATTCTGCATTCGTGCAGCGGTGCAGGTGAGTCCAGCACATTCATGATCTAGCTTTACTCAATGATGCTGCTGCTGCAGTGCTGCTTCATATATGTGGTGCTTCAAACTCTACAAATCTACAGCGCTTTGCAGGTAACATCAATTTGATCATATATCAATAAGGACATTTTGCACTGATCAGATTAAACTTACTGAATGAACTCAGATCTATATCAAATGTATTAGTATTCATTAATAGCTAATGTGCATCATTTAAAGGTGAACAGAGCATACTAGAAATGTACATATATTCTCAAACAGTTCTATTTACAAACTTTTCTAGAACAAAAAGTCTTTTTATTTAATGCACAAAACACTCTGATATAACATTTTAACGTTTCAGCAAGTTTTAAGCTTTTCAAAAGTAGCCTACACAATGGAAAAACATCTTTATTACAGTTTTGACTATGCAGAGCTAATGACCGATAAACACAATTTTACTCAGAACACAAAATAAAGATGATAAATTAATTAAACTCAAAACACGTTTTTGTAGGCTATTTATGAATCTTTTGTAAGTCGCAAAAATAATGTTAGCTTACCTAGGCAGACTGTCAGAGAGTTATTAATCTAATTAATGTCATCTGACGCACGAACCTCGAACCCCCTTAAAAAACTCAATCTTGCGCGCTGCCTCATTTTCTGGAGGAAGGAGCATCTTTCTTTCTGCTCAAGGACACTCGGTCCGTTGCTGTTCCTTATATAGAACGAGCTCCTAAAATCCAGTGTTTGCCAGCGTAACGCGGTCGATGAAGCTCTGAAGCGGCATCATTCATGACTAGAGCTGCACCTGTACTCAGTCTGCCAACTGCTCCAAGACTTGCTAGACAAATGTTCCGTGCCTGATCCGTTCAAGTTCGTCGAATTTGTCCTTTGGCGCCCTTTGTACCGTAAACCAAACGTCATCTTAAAGACCTTTCACCTTTTTGTGATATGTAGTATATTAATGAACACTTGAGTGATAAAGAATTATTTGGTTTTCAGAAGCAAAGTTCTCGAGCAGCGCTCTGTTGCTATGGTTACCTCCAAAAAAGAGGAACATTTCTGTTTGTGAGGGTCTATTTAGGCTACCGCTAGATGAAAATAGGCGGGTTGAATTTGTCAGGTTTTGTTGTTATTTATAAGTATGAAAAACAATAAAGGGATAAATAATTACAGTAGGCTTAACGCTATTTGAATCGAATTTCAGACGCAAAGTTCTCGAGCAGCATACTGTTGCTATGGTTACCACGAAAGCGATTTCTGACTATTTACTGCGCGCCGAGTGTAAATACGGGTTCTCTTATTGAAGTGTTTGAAAAGTTAGTTGATACGTACAAAAGTAGTAACAATTTAGCTAAATGAACAATAAAGGGATAAATAATTATAGAAAGCCTATTTGAATAGATTTTCAGACGCAAAGTTCTCGAGCAGCATACTGTTGCTATGGTTACCACGAAAGCAATTTCTGACTATTTACCGCACGCCGAGTGTAAATGCGGGTTCTCTTGTTTAATGTTTGAAAAGCTAGTTGAAACGTAAAAAAGTAGTAACAATTTAGCTAAATGAACAATAAAGGGATAAATAATTACAGTAAGCCTATTTGAATAGATTTTCAGACGCAAAGTTCTCGAGCAGCATACTGTTGCTATGGTTACCACGAAAGCAATTTCTGACTATTTACCGCGCGCCGAGTGTAAATACAGGTTCTCTTATTGAAGTGTTTGAAAAGCTAGTTTAAACGTACAAAAGTAGTAACAATTTAGCTAAATGAACAATAAAG